CGTCGCCATCAGATTAGCTCGCCTCTCATACTCACACTACCCTTCCTGTCAACTTTGACCACCCACGATTTGCTTAGGAATGCTCACGTAGCAAGATTCAGGTCTCAATATTTGTGACTAGCATTCATTACTCTACTGATTCATCCCAGCCTCCATTCATAGTTCGTGAGAAGTTGAAAGCATTGCCTGGTAAGTTGTTTTCCTTGGGTTTTTTCTTCAGCTCTGCATCACTGATCACCTCTACCTTAAATTTGAATCAGCTGTCCCTTTCAATCGTAATTCCGCCTTCAACATAAGCGACCAGCATATCTGGTACCCTGATTTGCCCATGTAAGACCAAGATACTGGGCTGTAGAGTTTGGACAGAGGGGCTGTACGGTGAAACTCCAGTTCGGGGGGGGGGGCACCCACTCCATTGCTATCTTATCCGTAGTACTAGAGAGCAGTTCTTTGGGCTATCGAACACTACGGATAAGATAATAAGTGAACGACTCATTTCGAGCGTACTTTTGATAAGGACCGGTGGATGTCCTACATTCCACACTACCTGCCCACATCCCATCCACTTTTCTGCACAGGTGATCCACCCTGGAGCTCCTGCACCCTTAGCCCTTTGCGGAGGTGTCCTTTCTCCTGGTCCAGGACCGTTCCCTTGGGTCATGGCAGGCGGAAATGTGAAAACGTTTCAGGGTTTCTCACCCATTACACCAATATTTATCAGAAGTCTACTTTAAATGAGTCGATTACGTGTCGTGAGCCCTCTAATCCTTATCTTGAGTATTTTTATAAAGCGCTAACTTTGTGTGTCGGTTTGTGTATCTGTATGTGTGTGTATGTATGTATGTGTGTCCGTCCGCAAAATGAAGTGAGTGAGAAGGAAGCTCATGGGATAAACAAACCGCTAACAAATCGGGTAGCTTACAGGATTTGAGATATCAATGTTTTGTAGCAGGATAGTTGTGATAACACTCTTAGGGCTATATAAACACCTGCTTAGCACACTTCCGTTCATTCCACATGGTGCTGCAGTGGCAGCTGGAGGGCAGTGGAGAGAGGAAGGGAGGATGAGGAAGGGAAGCGAAAAATCTACCGTCATATCATGATTGTGTCCCTTCTACTGTTGAAACACCATTGTGTTGCATACGCGTCACTTCCACGAGGTGTTGGTGTCACAGGAGGAAGGGACCATAGCGGAGGATAGAAAGCTTGCGCAGGAAAGGAAGGTCCCGGCGGTTGACGGGGGACTAATCTGGTGAGTATATAAACGGAGTGCCCCGAACTTGTGATTACGTCTGTACTTAGTCCCTCTGCCACCAGACCGGGAATATGCCATCCAAGAAGGAAAAGTCTTGTCTGGGTAGTTGCCCGAAACTGGTTCACTGTGAACTGAACGCTGATTCTGCCGTTTCTTAGCGAAAATCCCCGTCACCTTTGGTACCTCTTCAAAGCAGCCTTTTAAGGCTGCTAAACCCCTTGCTGTGCAGTGACCTTAATTCGCCTGTTCAACTCCCTCGCTCCCGCTTGCCTCTTGCACATTCGGGCTACAAAGACCATCACTCACCTGTAAATCCCTCCACGTCAGGTCCGGGTTGGCTTCGAGTGTCAACGCCACTATGCCCGCGGCCAGCGGGGCGCTGGCTGACGTCCCCGTATGGGTGTTGGTGCAGGCATGGTGCAAATCAGTGGTGACGATCATTTTCTCGCCAGTTGCACCACTGGAATATGTGCTAGCCAAGGTGCTACTACATGCTTCCGAGTACCACGGAATGTTGCCATTTTCAGTAGCGGCCGAGATCGAGAGGGTGTAGATGCTGAAAGGAAAGCTTCAGAATCTAAAGAAGAGCAGACCTCAAGTTTGTACGTACCTATTGGTGTAGCCGTCGCAGTTGCACGAATCGGCGTCTTTGCCACCGTTTCCCGACGCCCACACAAAAACCGAGCCCTTCCCGCGTCGTCCTTCCCGGATGCCTCGTTCGAAAGCGGCTCGGGTCAGTTTTGCGGGACCATCGACAGTCCGACCGTCGTCGTCAGGACCCCACGACGCACTGGAACCAAAACAATCTTTACCGGGTCAGCCTTTCTCTATGGAGCGCGGAATCTATTATACTTACCTGTAGATATCAACGTAGTCCGAGTTATGGCCCAGCGATGCAGCTTCTACAGCATCTGTCACATCTCCGTCCAGCATTCGGATACCTGACATAGAATAAATTTTTTAAGATACCCATAAGATTTTTCTGGCTGGCTTTTTTGCAATTAGCTACCTCCAATCCGGGCGTTATAGGCGATTCCCACTATACAAAGGCTATTGTTGAAGATGGCGGCCACCTCGCCGGCACATCTCGTCCCGTGGCGATTCTCATCGGAATACTCATAACGCGGCATCGGATCGTCATCGCGGTCGTTGACGTCGTACGAGGCACGAGCGTCCTGGAATTGAGCCAACTCTGATCAGGGATATTCCTTGTAGCTTTGGAAACACTTACATAGTTGGGTGCGATGTCGGGATGTGTCCGTTCGAGGCCGTCGTCCAAGATCGTCACCACGACTCCGCGACCGGTATAGCCGAGATCCCAGGCCTCTTTCACGTTGTGGTCCATCTTGGAGTTGCCGGTGATTTCGGCCCGATTCTGAAAATGCTGCGGATATTTCCCCATGGAGAGTGAAACTAGCCGAGTGAACTCACCAAGTACCACATATCAGTCCAAAGTGGATCGTTTGGGTCCGGTTGCTTCCGATTCCGTGATTTACTGACGAGTGTTTCGTCTTCGCCAAAACTCAGATCATTCTCCTAAAAAAGCCATTAGGTCTGAGAGGTCTTCTTTCCAGAATTGTATGCTCACTGGTCTCACATTAATCGGTCGAGCCCGCCGCGATCGTGTCCGTTGCCGATAGTCCCTTTTGACGCGCTTCTTGGCCACTTGCTGTTCCATCCAAAGAATCTGGAACTCACGGCTTGTACTTTTCACTCTGTTCAACGATTACTCTTGCAGGCATCTGCCCCTCACGTCAAGCAAACACAATCTGATTTAGCCCTTACAATGAGCCTTTATTTAGCAAGAGAGTCCGACTCTGGATGGGAAGAGGGTCGCCTGTGGGGGGTATCGATGGATTTTCGAAAAGATTAGAATCTGGCTTTTCTTGAAGTTGAGGGGTTTTCTGTTCAATTTGCAATTGTTTGCGAAGATTTTACATTATTTGTGGGACCAATGATGGTTTTCAAATGGATTTATTGTGCTGCTCACCGTGCGCTACTATAAGGCCCGCGTCGAGTCCAGCTCAGATTGAGGGCAGAAATCCGACCGTGCTAAACCATCCTGTGCAACTTATTATGATTATGTATGGGGATCAAGAACGAGTCATTTTGCCCATGAATCACATAACCAAACTTTCGTCTCACGAGGAGCCACTATTGATTATAAGTTTCAAAGCAAAATATTTCCCAAGATGCCCCCCCCTCCCCCCTCCCTCACAAGCAGAAGCAGGCTATTCTTCACTGCCCTTACTGTCTTTATAGTATGACATAATCTGCCATCACCATCGAGCTCAAGAAGGACTGCCGTAATCACTTCAGCGTAAAGCTGCTAGGTAATTCTTCAATCGGTCAGCTGATGGGTAGCTTCTTAGAGGCACTAGATCTGACTATGCAAGCCCCCCCCCCATCAGCGTTTCCAAAAATGTCGTAATGTGGCGACCTCACTTCTTGAGCGTCGATCCTGCATCCATGTCCTAGCACTCCCCCGATTCGTCGGAGAAAGGCTTTTATTCATTGGCGAAAGTAGTCGTTTTTGAATTTGGAAGGTGATATTTAGTTTTAGACCTATGAAGGGACCCCTCCCGGGTTCGTTCAGGCGCTCGTTGATCAACAACACACTCAAACTCCGGACCTAATCACCCCCCGGCTGTTTAAGGCCTTCCGTGGTCCAGTAATGGACACAGCACATGTTCAAGAGGCTGAAATACTGATTTGCACATTGGCTGTCCTCCAGAAGTCACTGCCGACAAATCGGTTCAAAATTCACTTCGAGGAAGTAAAAACGTGGCGTGTTCCAAAAGAATGAAGTGGGTCAACACAGAATGTTTTCTCAGTTTATCCTTCCATCCCACGAGACAAAGTTGCACAAGACGGCTACTTTGGAAGAAATTTTGAAACAGAGAGTGGACCGGTATCGGGTTCATTTCTGTTCGGACAAATATGTTGTTTCGGACAAATATGCACTACACTAATCACAGAATCCGCTTACCTCAGGCTCGTGGGAGATCCGATTTAGCTGAAGACTTCGAGTTTTTCGTGAGGATCGACTTCGTTGATTGACGTTACGAAACAAAAAATACTCTTCACCCGGAATGATCTGAAATTTCACGATCAGAATGGCCCCTATGGAAGGAGGCTTACTTTTGTCCCCTCCAACGCCCACCAGCCGGATTTATGCGTATGTAGGACCGGATTTGCACGTCAGCGAGTGAATTTGGGGAATATTGGTCCGGCTATGGCTGCGGGGTCCGGCGCCCGTCGCGCGGCGACAAAATTCGATTTGAGGTGAAAATTGAATTTAGCGCTGAACACACACATGCGCTAAGAAACGCTTGGACGACTTAATAGGCGCCAATTTTCGTGCTTTAGAAATTGGAGCCGGAGGAAAAACTCACTCGACCCAAGTTCAGATACCCGTACTTGGCGGCCAGTCTCGTCGCCTCCTCCTCGGAACCGCCAGCGATTCGTACCGCCCACTCGTTCGTGTACGCTTTTCGAAGATTCGACGCCAACGAACTCGTCGCGCTAAGATTATCCTGAAACAGTGGAATAAGCTGAAGGCCGTGCAGAACGACACAACAGGTTCCAACTTTCGATTGGAAAGAAAAAAAAAAATTGGTATGATTTTCGAACGATCGAATAATTTTCATGGGCAGAGGCAACTTTTTAACGATGTCGTGTATTCCCTCTTCCGTCTTCTTAGACTTTTACCTGCGCTCGCCACTAACAGGAACGGAACATGCCGTACAGCTCACGTTTGTTTGATGTTGAATCCGATGGGTCTTGCACGCGCCACGTGCTCGACTTCCCTTATGGACTGCGACGACATTTATAGGACATCCATACAATAACTTGCCTGGCTTCAATGAGATTAAAAATCGATGATCAAAATTAAAAGCTGAGTTGGGCGAAAGGGTGCTCTGGTAACTAACTTGTAGCGCACTTGCCAGGTGAGCGAAAGCTGCGGGTTCGAATCTCGCCTGGGGCGAAAGTTTTGCGCATAACCAAGCATTCTTCTGAGGTTTTCGCGAGGTGAGGTGCGGCCAAAACAGCAGTTAACAATTAAATTCCGACCAACTTTTCAATCTCTAGGAAGGTATCCTACTGATTTGTCGATCCAAAAGGCAACGGTTAATTGCTTTGGGCGAATCAAGTTCGTTGAGGAGTACACATTGATTCTCGGGTGAATATTGTGATGAAAAACGCATCAAATCGTGCTCACAAAACCAAATAAGAGCTAGACTGTACAAATCGAAGTAGAAATTTCTACTCTGGAAAAAAATGCCAATACTCAAGGTTGATCTCGATTCACACAGAATTTGAAAAAAGAGGTTGTTGGTCCATACCAGTACTTAAATTGGGAAAAAAATGTAGACATCAAATGAAAAAATGAAACGGTCCGCCAAATCAAATTTTTTCGAAGGCGGTAAGGCACTTGAAGATAAGTGTGATTTCATTGAATAGTGCACTGTGTCTACTTCTATGGATCGTGAGATTTGTGATCTGTGAGCAATAGTGAACTGCCAATTTTGTCTACACAAGACTGTCCTCCAGAGAAGTCCGCTATGAACTAAAACGCCTGTGGTTGGCCTGCGCGAGATTCGATCCGGAATTCCCCGATTGAAGGTGCGTGTAGCAAATGGTGCTGATTACCACTACATTACTCCCATATAATTCGAAACAGATGAAACTACAGTTTTTTTTTGGGGTGGGGGCACTCCGTTGCTATCCATCTGTAGGTCCTGGAGACCACTCCTTTTAACGCTACTGCCAACCACACTATGGATAGAGATGGATGAAGCTAACCGACTCTTCGAGTCACTTTTGATACGGATGGGTGGGTGTTTCTAGATTCTACACAATGTACATACTACCTACTATTGGTTCTCCACAGGTCATCCACCCTGGAGCTCCTCTACCTTAGGCCCAAGCAGAGGTGTCCATTATCCTGGTCCAGGAACGTTCCCTTGGACCATGTCAGGCGTAAATGTGAAAGCACCTCAGGGTTTCCTCCACATACACCGATAATTATCAGAAGTATACTTTAAATGAGTCGATTACGTGTCATGAGCGCTGTCATCCTCATAGAGTATTGGTGAAACAATGGAGTGCCCCCCCCCCCGAACTGGAGTTCTACCTCAAAACATAAACACTTAGCACTATTTACCCTTGACTGGCCCACTCCTAAAAAATTGAGCCGAATTTTCATGGAAATTTGCCCATGGCTGTGAATTTAGCTAAAAATTTGCAGTCGATGGTAGTTTGACCGCGTAAAACACAAACATCACATTCGTTTAGCACGATAATGCTTGGCGCCCGCGCCATAGATGGCGGCGATAAAAGGCGTCTTGGATCACCAAATTCGTGGAAACTTGTCGTCAGAGGTAGTTAGACCCGTAGAACATGAATATCACATTAGTTTGTTGCGAGTGAGCCTGTAGCCTGCGCTACGGGCGCCCGCGCAAAACTGTTGTGATAGCGCCGGCGCCTGTGGCGCGGGCGCCAAGCGTTTTCGCGCTAAACCGATGTGATATTCGTGTTCTACGGGTCGAAATACCCCTGGGGAGTTTCCTAGCCAAATTCTTTCATGGACAAATTTCGATTGAAAATCCGGCTCAGTTTTTGAGGACAGGGTGGTAAAGGGTAAATAGTGCCAAAAATTCAACCACTATCTAGGTTATGTTAGGTTGAGCTGACTGTCACAGTGACTGGGGCTCTCTTCAGCAAGATATTTCCAGGGCTACGGGAGGAAAACGAAAGAATGCGATGGAATAGATGGAAGTCCAAGAAAATCAGGAAAAAAAGAAACGAAGGTAAACAACACATGGTCCACAGAAAGTGTGTGAAAATAAAAATTGCATCAAAATCAGGAAAACTCTAATATGTGAAAAAGGAAGACGAAACTGCACTTCAAATAGTATGAAAATCATACAATAT